TAATATTGATGCACGCCTTTTTATTAACGATTTCATGAGGTAAATGAATATATGATGACCCGGGAATAGGTTCAAATTTGTTGAGGTTTAACAGGAGGTAAGATATTGAGTGGAAAGCCCACCCAGACCCACGCTCCTGAAACTCCTCGCTTTGAGTTAAAATATCGCGAGTCATCTCATCATAAACCTCATTCAACATAGTAGTTGCAGTGATAATTTTAAATTTGGTATTAAAATTTTTCTCCGATGTTATAACTTCTTCATTACCATCATTATCAAACTCGGACTTAATAAAATTTGCCAATATCTCAATCTGAGCTTTTATCGAACCATTCTCATTGAGATGCTGTTCAATCAGTCTATTAACTGTTTCACAACATTTTAATAGATATGACGGCATATCATCCTCAGATTGAGCTCCACTAATTTTATAACAAACTACCCTATTTTTATAGCAAGACGTAATTTTTGCAACGTTTTTATCGATTAATTCAGCATGCTCCGTTCGAAGGTGGGGTTCAAGCGACATAAGTGTCGGTAAAAACTCACCGCAAACTTCGCATGCCCGACCCCTGTTCTTGGTAGCTGGAAGTGGTGGAGGTGTTGAATCTCGACGACGTTTACTAGATGGCGATGATGATGATGTGTCAACCACCATCTCTAAATTCGATTGATGTTCAATAGTTAATGGTGGCGGTGACGCTTGACGTCTAGGTTTTATAACTGGTACGTAAGAATACTCCATTTCTTTGATGTGTGTCCAAGTTATCTTGTCTCGAAAAATATTTCCCACATATCGAGCAATTAAATTTGAGTTGACCATGTTTAGTTTGTACATGTCGGTCGAGATTACGTTTCAACGTAAAAGATACTTGACAATGTTCACAAGTAAGCATTTTGGATTATATAAATTTTTGGGAATACCAAAACAAACAATTCGTATAAAAAGTTTTTAGAGGTAATAGATGGAACTATGGTGTTATCACAACCGCGAATGAATGTTATCTGCGTTTCAATATATCGCGCATATTTTAGACGGGTTGGAACACCAAAACCAAATTCTGTTTCTTTGGTAAAACTATGCCATTGGTCATTTATGTCCGTGCAAATTAAATTATTTCTACAACAGCTACATTGATGTAACGATCTATTTTTTTTACAAATATAGCCACCCACATAGCTAATAGCAAATCCATCGATTTTTGATATATTATGGGTAACTATATTTGTAATACTATTAACTAAGTCACTATTTCTAATATACGTTTCTGTGGGTAACACATTTTTTTGCCCCAGAAAACTTTTTATATTTGTTGTTATATTTAACGAGTCTGCTTCGCAATTCGCATGTAATGAATGCCGTGATGATAAATTATTAATTAATAATGTTTTGTAATGGTTTTCAAATTGTGTTGCGGAAGGGTTAACGTTCCTTACACCTCTTTGTCTTATTTGACCGAAAAAATTTTCTAGAGGGTCTTGATTAAAACATTTTAATTTTAAAAAGGACACTTGACCCTCCAGATTTTTAAAAATGTCTTGAAGTCCATGTATTGTCGCCAACCAATTTTTTAATGAAGGCGGTATATATTGTCTGCTGTCATTCTTTTCAAAATACATATTACAAAGTGCTTGTATTGCACTTTCAAAAAATTTGTGGTGGGCTGAATCCTTTGTCAGTGCACATCGTAATACTTTGCCACCCTGGGGATACAGTAGCACACCATTTACACTGTCGAACAGATTATCGAAGAATTTCAAAATTTTTGCGGTCCCAAGAGCAGATTCGTCCAATTTTTTATCGGTGCTATGTATTTCTATAACAAAGACAATTTAATTAGAACTTTCAAATTAAATTTTTTCACTATAATACACAATAATAATGTATTGTAATGTATTAATTAAATTAATAATAATACATTACCTGATTTGACTATGGCATTAATAGCTGCTGCTACAGTATGACTAAATACTTGGGTGGCGTTGGATACTTTCATTTTTCGAATTTTTTTGGGGTCACAATGCTCATCCGTTAGTTTCGGCATCAATCTTAATTCCCCTTATGCGTTGTCTAACAAATATGCGGAGTAAATGTCGTCCCATTTTGCTCGGTTAATAATATCGTTTTGTTTCCATACTAGTGTTTTACTTAATAAATTGTTTCTTATTCCCTTTATTAAATGAGGTGGATCAAATATATGGTATAAAAATTCACCGTCGACTTTGTAACATTTTAGGTTAACATATTCGGTTTCATTTATTGAATTTTTCATCAAGTAATTGATGGCAGCTACATTTGATGACCCTTGATCACTTACAGTGCAAATGATCTTCAAACCAATTGCAGTGCTTCTTCGAATAATTTCCTTAATTATTCGCAACAAGTCCATTGATTTTATTGCGCTTTTTGTAAAACCGTATGCTATGGGTTGCTTCCAGTTTTTGGTCACACCTCTTAACATAAATACAATTGCGTGGTCTGCAATTTTTGCTGACGATGTATCGCCCAAATCCTCGAACCCCTCGAAACGCATACTTCTGGTATTAAATGAAATATGAGGTTGTATCGCCATTTCATCAAATAATAGAATGCACAGTTTTTCATTGGATGTGAAAGAAGCAACTGCCTCTTTTAATTTTTCAATAATGTGGTTATTAATTCCCACATTCAATGGAATATTTTGAAGCAGAACTCCTATTGTTTTCCTATTTGGTAAGTTAAATAATTTTGAAAACAACCGGTATGATTGTGGGCTTGATTTGTGTAGTATAAGTCCTAAACATTTATCGTTTAATGTGTATCTTCTTCCCTGAGGATGTCGTCCAGCTAAACGAATTTGGCTTTTTATGAATTCAGCCACATGCGGATTCAAAGTAGCGGTTACACGGTCGATCATCTCACTTTTCGTAAACGAGTGTAATTTTCTTTTCTGTTTCAGATTTGTAGTTTTTAATCTTCTTACAGTTTTTCTCAGTGCTACTGTTTTTCTGTAGAGCTTCTTTGCTTTCGGACTTAAGTCGCTTTGTTGTGTTACACCCACACCTTCTAACACAGACATTGAACCTAATAACAAAATATTTAGTCAATATACTTATAGTAAAAATGACAAGATCACAAAAAAATTTTGCATACCAACAACCAATGCATTAATAGAAAGCAAATAAAAAACATTAAAAATTAAAATATGCAAATAATCACAGATGGTAAATAAAATAAAGTAGAAGATAACTATTTTAATATAAAGTACTAAATTGACACATGCAACTCATAACATTATCGCATTTAAAGTAAGTTTGTTGAAGCAGAAAGATATAACTTTTCATAGCATACAAATGTACTTTTTTACCCTCTTTAATTGATATTCTGAACCCTCATTGTTATCAAACATTGTTGTTATATGTTGTCGTTTAGGTGAAATTGTTACAGACAACTTACGCTTCCTTGTTGAAGGTAACATTACAATCGTTTTAGCAGAAGTGGAAGGCATAACGACTGCTGGATTTACTAAAAAAAAAAAATAAAGTATAAGCTTAGCAATCTACTTTATTGCAGAATAAACATTAGTAGATAAGAAAGAATAGATACCTTGCTGTAATGAAACATGCTGGTTTCCAAAATCATCCTCTACTAATGGTAATGTTGTAGTTGTATAGGTTGAACTTGTACTCGCCTCTTGTATTCCTTCAATGAATAATAAATTTAAGTTAAACAGGTGTTCCAAAACAAATGAAGCACAATAATTGAGGTTATTAACCCTTTCGAGACGGTTGCCGTATCAGTACGTCTAGCAAAAGACGTCGTTGCAGGCCTGCTGCCATACTAATACATTAGTAACTTTCCCAGCACTGACGACCCGAAAGGGTTAAAAACCAATAAGGTAATAATCACTGATGATTATGAACATTCTTATGAAGCCGAAATGAAAAAAATTAATGTATTTAAAAGTAAAAAAAAATATTACCTTGTTCAGTTGTACCTATATTAATTGGGTTCTTTGAAGTCGGCATGTTTAAGGAAGGAATAGCCGTTTTCTTTAGATACATATTGCTCGCTATGTCATTCAGAGTAAAATGTATATGACATACTCTTTTCTTTCGATGCACATCCTTGGCATCCATAGCCATTAATGTATCATCTCCACACAATTTTATCCAAGCTATAAATATGTCTGGATGCTTGTCTGGATTTGGAAATACATGTCGATGAGAGACTTTATCTTCACATCCCTTTACACTGCAAGCACGAAGGCGTCCCATTTTTATGTATTAACGATAATCTGACGAAAATGCTGCAAAAAAATTTTTTCTTCATCTCTCATACTAATTTATACTGCAATAATGGTGTAACTTACATGACAAAATGCTGGGAACTATTGAGGACAAGAGTAATACTCTAGCAACAAACAGCAAAAGAATGAAAGACTTAAAACTTATTTTGAAAGTCCCAAAAGTTCAAGAGGGTTGAAGTGGTAGGCGTTTTTATACCTGCATTCCAAAGGGTTTAAGAAACATGGTCTTTGTTTCTAATTTTAGAACACCAAACTTTTACCTGCTCTGTAAAAGACTGAAGAATGACAAAAGTTTCTTTTTTCACACTTTCCGATTATGTTTTTCACTTACTAAAAAAAATTGTTATTAATTCTAAAGGCCCTATTTTTATTAAAAATCCTTCCAATAATTTACCTGTTTCATGCATATTCTTTCCTTTATGTTTTTCTATATGCATATTCCATTTTCGAATTACACAATTTTTAATCGGAACTATTGCATCGATAACTATTTATTTATTTATTATAAGATTACATGATTACCACGGGGAGTGCACTTATTAGAAATACAACAATAAATTTGTAGGTTATTTCACTATATTTGTTTACGATTACGACAAGTTTACTATTTTTCGATTAATAACGCTATCTATTGAAATAGACTCCAACTAAAAGCACAGTTTCAAACCAGGCTCGGCACCATTTCTAATAAGTGCACTCCCCGTGCGTACAATGGACCCGCAACATAATAACAAATTGCTTCTCTTGTTACAAGAGCATGACGATGACGAAATTTTGTTATTACTTTTGAGAAAAAAGAAAAGAAACGTTGCGCGTAATTTGTATCAACGTAGACTGAAAGAGGGTTTTTCAAATACTCTCTTAAAAAATCATTTATTACTAGACGAGCAGACATTTAAACAGTTTTTTAGATTGAATAAAAGTCAATTTCATTTTATTCTTGGACTTGTTGGTGATAGATTAACAAAACCATCATCAAGAAGGGTTAAATTACCAATTACGGCAGAAGAAAAACTAAGTTTAACATTAAGGTAAATATCATTATATTAAGTAGTATACAGGTGTATCTGAATGACTGCAACAAACTTCAAGGGGTGATTCTTTAGTGAATTTTAAGGGTACTTTCATATATGAAAAAAATCTTAGTAGGCTTTGCAATCTTAAAATTCACTAAATAATCACCCCTTGAAGTTTGTGCAGTCATTCAGTTACACCCTGTCTAATAATACATTAAGTTTGATCATCATCATAATTTAATGCTACATCGCTAATGGTATCGCTATCTGTGGTTCCTGATCCCTGTTTAATTTGAAGCGATCTGATTTCAAATTCGCTGACCACCTCAAAAATTTTCGATTTTGCAGCTGCTATGAAATTAGGTGGAAATGTTTTCACCGTTAACGCCATACTTCTGAAAAATGATAATGTCGGATCTTCATCATCACTTCTTTTAGAGGTGCTTAACTTTTCCACTAATTTTTCCCGCTCATTAGCTCTTTTCTCCAATATTTCTAATATTCTTGTGTTGTTATCTTTTTTCTTTTTAGTAACAAAACCGAGAGGAATTGATGATTTTCTTTTTGCGGTTTTGCTAAGAGAATTATTGTCTTCCTCTTTTGATTGTTCCGGTGCAGATGTTTGCAAATCGTCCAATACGTTTCTTGAATCTTCAATCATAACATCTTTCTGAAGTACATTTTCTTCAGGCAGCGTTGTTACTACGTTGTAGGATGCGATGTTACTCTGAGTGCTAATAAAAGAATTTGAGTTCTATAGGGGTTTGTTTTGAATGGCTGAATATTTCAAAATAAAAATTATTTTACCTTCGTTCATATGAAACGTTATCTAGAAAAGTAAGCTGTGTGAATAAGGGCCATTTACATTTTGGCTGTGCAGCAGAGCCTGTTCCTGGTTGATTGCGTTTCACCTTCATATAGGTGTCCCTAATGTTGCGCCATCTTTTTTTACAATCAGCAGCTAAAACAATTTTTTTGTTTTTTAGATTTCTTGCTACCGGTGAAACATTCAGGTCGTTAGCATTTACATTTCGAATTTCATATGGCTATATTAGTATTATTGTGAAAGAAGTAATTGAAGAATTACGCAACAAATTGGTTCCTTTATATCTGAAACAACCAACATGTTCTGATTTCGAAAAAATTGCCAAAGATTTTTATGGGAAATGGAATTTTCCAAACTGCATAGGGGCGATTGACGGCAAACACATAAGAATATTGTGCCCAAAGAACAGTGGATCCTTATTCTTTAACTATAAGAATTATTTTTCAATAGTGTTGCTGGCTATCGTTGATTCGAATTACAAGTTTACTGCTATAAATGTTGGCTCTTACGGCAAAGAAGGGGATAGCAGTATTTTTGAAAAATCACCTATGGGTAACCATATTCGTTCTGGAACATTCAACATCCCTGATGAAACAGCATTGCCAGGATCAGACGTGGTCTTACCACACGTTATAGTGGGTGATGAAGCTTTTCGTCTTGCCCCACACATGATGAAACCCTATCCAAAAAATCAGGCAACGCTCGATAATTCAAAAGCAATTTTTAATTACCGATTATGTCGCGCAAGAAGAGTATCTGAAAATGCATTTGCTTTACTTTCGCAAACATTCCGAATATTTTATGCTCCAATAGCAGTTAAGCCTGAAACTACAGATGCAATAATACCTGTAACATGTTGTTTACACAATATGTTACGGGATGAATATCTGCAGAAAGGAAAACCAATATACAACCAAGACATTGAACTGCCTGTAAATAACATGTTCCCTATTGCTAGAGGAGGAGGATTTGGCAATGTTGCAGGCTTCGAAATTCGGAATCAGTTTAAAGACTACTTTAATTCCCCACAAGGTTCAGTACAATGGCAAGAGGATTGGGTACGAAGGGGTTTAATATAGTCACTTTATAAAAAATGTTACCTTACTTTTATAAAATAAATATATATAAATTATAAAATAACTTGCTTTTTCTTTGCACATTTTCTGATATTTGTTTCCAAATATTGTCTCGAATATATTGATTTTTATAATCCGCTTGGCCGCTGTCTTCTTCGGAAGAAAAATGAAACTTTGAACCCATTTCGAATGCGGCTGTCAAACGCAGCCGCATTCGAAGCAGACGTCTACTTGACGCACGCGTCAGGTGCACCGCATTGCGTTAATTCGCACTCATAGGAAATCTACTACGTTTGACTAGGTTGCATCGGTGATTAAGCGTCGGACGCACGCATAGGACGCTTGCGGCAGACGCGCTTAGGAAATCCCACCTTAAGCAGTTTTATTAAATCACTGAGGTTAAGTAAAGTTCAATGCACTGTGACAATCGGCGTGCAGCTGCAATAACGATGACTAATAGAACTATTAGTACAGTAGGTTATTTTCGAACGCCCCCGCACCCCGGAGTAAGGGAATCCCCCCTATACCCTCTACTCCCTATTCTCATATAGTATATCGCATCCGCTCTCTTTCACCCATCGCAGTATTTCTCTTCCTTCTCCATTCAGCACCTTATCCTTGAACGTTCAACCAATCAGAGCGCAGCATTCTCCAAGAACCCCCTTTTTGGCGGGAAATTTGAATGAGGCTATCTATATCGATGGGCCTTATCACGATGACGTCATCATCGATACATCGAGGTCTTGATACATCTGAACACAAAGCGTTAGGTTTGGCTTACCGGCTGGGTGCTAGGGTGCGGGGTGCGGGCGGGTAGGGCAGGGTGGTTCAACCAGAACATAGCATTCTCCGTGAATCCTCTTTTAGGCTGGGAATTTGAATGAGGCTACCGCCTTATCACGATGACATCGTCGATACATGGAGGCTATGATATATTCGGACACGAAGCGTTTGGCTTGGGGATTATAAAATGGTGAATATCTCGTTAACGATGCTTCAAATCGAAAAATAAACCGAAAAATTCCCCCCTACAACCCCCGTCGCCTATAACAAGCACGAAGAACATGGCACGGGTGAAAACTGCCAAAAGGGCTTTATTTATTTATCGAGCTGATGACGTCATGCCGCCGGATCGTGTGGTGTTTGGTGGTGACGTCATCTAGACAATCATGTACAGGTTAGGTGCGGGGTTCGGGGCGTGGGCGGGTAGGGTGGTCGGTGGGTGAGGTGCGGAGTGAGGGGTGGTGGAACTTCATCGATACATCGAGGGCCTTGACACATCCGGACACGAAGCTTGGAGGTTATAAAATGATATTTGATATTTCGAGGGTTTTGTTATTTTAATAAAAATACCAGTTCCACAATTTATACAATGAAAACAAGTTGACGAGGAAAAGAGCAATAAATAAAAAACGCGTATGCGATCCCAGATGTGTAACACTCTGCTATACCACCAATGTTGCTTAGTAAAGATTTACCAATATAGGTGTTTACTTGTAATTTTATGAAATGTTAGATAGTATTAAAAACGAAAAAAATAGTGAAAGTGAATGTAAAGGCTGTAGTCCTATACGTCAATGGCCATCTTAGGGTGAGCTTGATATTATATTTTTCCCAATCAGACAACTAATTGTCGATTTATGGTAAATTATGTAAAGCTGTCTTTTCATTTTATATAGATCGGTTTATCACGAAAACTAGAGTCAATTCAAACAATCTAATTTATAGCATAAGAACTTCATAATGATGTGCATTTAAATTGGCTCCATAAAATTAGGCCGCAGAAAAAAAATATTGTTTTGTTCCCCTGTGTAATAAGCGTTTTATTATAAGGATAATTTCGCATGGAAATAGCACACTCCTCATGGATTAATTATGTTTACTCATACATGTTTAATCGACATTTCGGGCTATTATGAGCCCATCATCAAGATTTTAATATAAATCTAAAAGAACAATTACAATTTTAAGCAAAAAAAAAACGACGAAACATTTAGAAATAATACATTTAAAAATTTTTTTAATATTCTACACTTATCAGAATATACAAAAAAATATAAATTTGTATAAATTCAAAAAAACGTACCATTATTGAAAAAACAGTGGGAGAGTTGATAATTGGCATCTATAATTATTTTAGTTATTAATAGTCTAATCTAGTATCATGTGGTTCTCAACTGCTCACTTGCGGACTAAAATGGCTAAAATTTTACGACAAACCTGTTTTATTATTGGTATGAATTTATTTTTAAGAATCCAAAATAAATTTAAATTTAATTTTCAATACTAATTATGCTGCATTATTTGTTTCAATTCAATCTAAATATTAACCTTATCAACTATTCCTGCGTATATTTTACCTATATTGCCTGTGTCTGATTTGAAGTTGACCATGTTATTAATATTTTTAGTAATGTGAATAGCTTCTAAGGTTTTCCTATTGAAACTATTCTTACTCGTTGTGATAACTTTAGGATTTTCAAAATCAAAGTTATTTTGATTTTTCAAAGCATGTTGTCACACATTGTTTCTATGTTGATTTATGCGCTTGTGAAGATGCTGCTTAGACTCCCCTATACAGAGTGTCCCGTTAAGGGTACGGAGCGGCTGTATCTCAACAACGGTAAGGTCTAGAGGTTTGGGAAAAAAATCCTTATAGGCAAAGTGGGCAAGAGAAATAGCTGGAAATTATTTTGAAGTTCGTAATTTGACCGCTAGGGGGCGTAACTGCCATAGAGAAACATAAAATTCCCGCTATCTCAGAAAGTTAGACGATGAGCTATAACTTTGACAACATCATTTAGTAGCTTGGATAATACCGCATCGCTTTTGTTTTGCAATATTTTTCATATCTGTCATAATAAGGGAGGGGGAGGCCAATGCGTTTTCAAATGTTTACATTTTAATATCTCCTGGACCATTCAACCGATTTGAATATTTTTGGTCTTGTTTGAAAGAGCATTTCATGCTCTTTTAAAAGATATTTTCAGTAAGACCGCTTGGTTTAAAACAAATAAGCTAGAGGGCGTTATCTGCAGCGGTTACATATTTTTGTGATTTTTGAAAAAAAGTTAAATGGAACGGTACTATTTACTTCACAGACCGTTAATCACCATAAAATTTGCTAAATATTAGTGAAAACCGCATCTCGATATCTCCATCCATTCTCGAATTATAAAAGAAAATGTTAAAAATTCGTATATCTTAATCGGATCAAGTTACCTTAGGAAACAAATAAGAGAGAACAAAAATTTTATTATCTAGAACCTTCCTTCACACTTTATCCAAGCTTAGAACTGCTTCAAAACTACTTTTGAGGCGTGTTGAAAAGCCAACGGATCAATGAAACATCAACAATGATAATAAAACAAAATAAACCAAAACACTTAGAATAACTTAAATTTTTGGCAAAAATAACTCACTAATGTGCGAAATGCCTTCCATAAACCTCGATGCATTTATTTAATCTAGTTTCGACGAAAAAAAAGCGCTGCTTAAGTCTCGGCCCTGGACACGTTTCTACTGGTATTTAGTGTTTTGTCATATTTTCCCTGGTTATTGGTTTTTCTTGAAAAGTCAGGTCGTTTAGTCTACCCAATAGATAAAGGGGTGAAAGCAATGTGGGTTTTGCTCGAACCAAGAATGCATATTATGCAAGTTTACATCAGCTTGTGGACAGATGCTTCATGCATCCATAGCATTTGTGATAAAAGGTTTGGATTTGCCCAAATCATATTTAAAAGTCAATGGTAATAGTTCAGTCTGTTATCATAATCGGTATCTGTTAAGGCCTGATGTAAAACAACGTGGTGGAGATATTATTCTCTTGAGAACTCTTGTGGACAATTGTTTTCGGAGTTCCCAGATTATGTGGGATCACATTGCGCACCAATATGATTTACGAATTCATAGAGATGTCTGAATGGGCTACACGTTGCCAGTTTTCCGTAATCGCTAAGTCAATCTTAAAAACACTTCTAGAGAAAAATGTCTTTCTTTGTCGTAATTGCATTGCACATTTTTGCCATGCAGTTGCATCGTATTCGAAACATTGAAAATAAATCATCATACGCTCTATCATACGCTTCTGCGTTAGTAAATGACATGTTTACAGTTACCATGGTTATGTGATTTGTTTTTCTCGATGAGGTAACTGGATCCGATTGATGGCACTCGAGTTTTTAACATTTTCTTCTATAACTCGAGAACGGGTGGCGATATCGAGATGCGGTTTTCACTAAAATTTAGCAAATTTTAAGGTGACTAAGGGTCTGTGAAGTAAATAGTATCGTTCCATTTAACTTTTCTTCAAAAATCACAAAAATATGTAATCGCTGCAGATAACGTCCTCTAGCTCTTTTGTTTTAAAGCAGACAGTCTTACTGAAAATATCTTTAAAAAGAACATAAAATGCCGTTTCAAACAACATCGGAAATATTCAAATCGGTTGAATGGTCTAGGATATATTAAAATGTAAACATATGAAAACGCATTGGCCTCCCCCTCCCTTATTATGACAGATATGAGAAATATCGCAAAACAAAAGCGATGCGGTATTATCCAAGCTACTATATGATGTCGTCAAAGTTATAGCTCATCGTCTAACTTTCTGAGATAGCGGGAATTTTATGTTTCTCAATGGCGGCTATGCCCCCTAGTGGTCGAATAACGAACTTCAAAATAATTTCCAGCTATTTCTCTTGGTCACTTTGCTTATAAGGATTTTTTTCCCAAAACTCTAGGCCTTACCGTTCTAGAGATACAGCCGCTCCGTACGCTTAACGGGACACCCTGTATACTACATTATACAAATTATGTACATACGTGAATATTTACGTTGAACAATAAAGGTTTGTTCGAACACGACAAGTTGAATCGTTCGGTTATAGTTCCAGATGCATATAGAATTTTCTAGTGCGCATGCGCGGTAAAAGTATAGTTCTAGAACTGCTGTGTGTTGGGACGGGTACGAACACATTTAGGGATCGGGTCGGTCGGTATTGTAGATAACGCCTACTTTATTTACCTAACTGAGCTAACCTAAATATTTGTTTTATTGCTGACGTTTTCTGCTCATTAAATTTAGCGAATAAAATTTTGTAAAGAAATTATTATGGACGGAACAACGTACAAATGGTCAGTAAATGAAACAAAAATTCTACTTGATCATTATTACACAATGAAAAGAAAGGTAGGGACGGAGGAAATCAAAAATATAAAAGAATTGTGGAAAAAAGTATCTGAAAAAGTAAGTAAGAGAAGGAACAAATTCGAGGATGAATGAACAACACTGCCAGAATAGGTGGAAGGTTGTTGAAAGAACATACAAAAAGTACATAGATAATGAAAGATCAACAGGTAGAGGAAAAAAATACTATGATTACATAGAAGAGATGGAAAAGATATTTGGAAAAAAAAGGGCAGTAAATCCCGAATTGCCCTTGAGTAATAATGATATTCACATCATTCCTGATGTGGAAACAGAAAATACAGAAATAGGAGAGATTGAAAATTTGAGAGAAGTTGAACAACCTATAGAAAATCCACTTCTCATTGATAAACGTCCGGGAAGGAAAAGGAAAAATTCTCAAATTGAAATGTTACGAAGAGATAAAAAGAAATACTATGAAGAGAAGCTTGAAATAGAAAGAAACAAATTAGAAGAAATAAGAAGAAGAAATAATTTAATAGAAGAAAGGAATAACATATTAAAAGAAAAAATTTTTTATTGTGTGTTAGAAGAATAGATGTTGTTAAAAAAGCTTCTCTTCTAAAAACAGAGAATTTAGCATTAGAGTTAGGTAACTCTTTTCTAAAAACAAATTGTTTTTAATCTAAGTACTTGTTCTGTTTTTAGGTTTAACAATGGAAAAATATTTAATTTTTATAGCTTAATTATTTGTAATAATTATTGTGTTTAGGTATGTAATATTTATTTAAATAAATATTTACAAACGAACTCTTTGGAGAAATAATCATTAATTATAAAATCTACAAAGTACGAGCTATCACATCTCGCATTATACGAGCATCAACATCAACTTCACCTTCATCATCCTCTTCAACATCCACTTGTATTGGTGCAACTTCTGGCTCAACAGCTTGTTCAGGTTCAAAGTTATCTGATAGTGCCACATTGTGCAATACACATGCTGCCCTTATGAAATGAATTACTAAAGGAATGTTTCTGGGTTTTAGGTGGTATAATTGACGAAACTTGCATCTAAAACAGAGAAAGAACTAAGTAAAGAAATTATTGTAAAAATATAATGAGTTCTTACTTGTACAGAGTAGAAATGTTTTCTATTAAAATAGGATTCAGGGTTATTTGTTGGTTTATCAATCCGAATGTGAGACCCATCTATGGCCCCAATAATATTTGGAAACCCATTCTCCCTAAAATGTCCTTCTATAACTTTTTTCTCATCATCATTTGGCCATTTGATTATCTCTGGAGCTAAATTACTTAAAAACATTGTAACCTTTTTTATAATGCGCCCAAGAGTACTTATGGTCACATCAAAACGATCAGCGACATCTCGAAAACTGGATGTTTGGTGTCCCATATACCATAAGTATATGAGAATCTAAAAAATATTTTTGTATATTTTATGTACACTTTACATATGTCTTTACTTGATGACGAGGAGATATATTCCCATATTGGCCAATTTATTATTGCTCAATTTATATTTTTCCGATAACTCATTTATCAAACCTCTTGATAATCGAAAATGGGTAAAAAAAGATTGGTCATCGTACCTATCAACGGTTTCATCTATAGTAATTGTAAGAGAGATCAAATGATTAACTAATTGAAAATTTCTGAATAAAATCTTTACCTAGAAAATTCATATTTTTTATTTTTGGTTCCGGAATTGTTTCCAATTCGCTATCACTTGATTCTTCTCCGCTACTAAAATCACTAAAATCACCGATATCGCTCATTTTCGAACAGAACAAATCGAAACTTCGCCAAATTAATCTGTATCAGCGTTTGTTGTCACGTCAAATAAATGTAGACAAGTTGACAGCGCATGACAGTACTGGGACTGAACTATTAGTACTTCCTACCGAGTAGGTATTGAAAATACCGTTCACGAACGGTTTCGACATCGTTCCGTTGTAAGTTGGGAGATATTTCCGAACTATTTCGAAACTGTTCCGTACCAGTTGAGACTGTTTTTATTTAATGCGCATGCGCAGTACAGTTCTAGAACTGTTTTGTCGCCTGTTGGGACAAACCTTATGTTGGATGATAAATCGAATAGAAACACGAAAAACATAGGTGTTTTTTGCACACTGCACATCTTATAAACGCACATGATTTGCAATCACATTTCGATGAAGTACATGTGCTTAGCGGACACACCCGGGTACCCGGGTAGCCACTAGATGAAAAATAACATTTCGACTAGGGAATCAATTAATATCATTGATGAACATTTCATTGAGGTAACAGGGGTTAATAAATAAATAATTACAATAATTTTCACTGTAGATTAGAGTATATTTACATTTATTCAGCGCAATCGATACATTTGAATATCGACAAAGAGTGCTCATCGCAGACAGGTCTCGCGCAAACCGAACAAGATTTTCGCGTTTTCCTGCGTCTTTTGATTGTTCCTTTATAGCAAATATGACAAGAACCTGTAATTTTTTTCCTGCCAGTACTATCTCGAGGTTGAGCTTGTCTTTCAGGAACAGTGGAAGGATCAAGCTGTAATCCAATCACGCTTTCAATCGCAATTTTCGTATTGTAGTTGCGCATTATTTGGGCATTCTTAGAACGATCCTCAATGAAAGGTTTCGCTAGTTCTTCGCTCAGTTGACGCAAGAAAGTACGTCGCTGATTAGTCTTCCTTTGTATCATTTTGTTATTCTCATAATAAATTACATATGAAGCAAGAGCGCCTACGTCTAATATATTGAAGAACATAGCAAGAGGCCATCTCTGAGTGCGCCTGCGCGTAGTGTATCGAGTTACCATTTGATCCATTGTATCTACACCAGTTTTATATTTATTATAATAAGTGATCATGTGAGGCTTTTTCTTTCCATCATCATTCACAGCAGCATCAGAGTGCATTGTCGATAGTAAAATTACGGCTTTATTCTTCTTTGGCACGTACGAACAAAGTGTAACATGTTCGTGAAAACCAAAGAGAGTAGAGTATTCTTCTCTAGATTTATGAGGAGCCATTTGTTTTGGGATGTAAGGCTTATTTTTTCTCAACGTACCAACAATAGTTAATTTCCATGACAGTAAATGTTTTGCAAGTGGTAACGTAGTAAAATAATTATCCATAGTAATATTTCTGCCACTTCCTCTGAATGGTACTGCAAGTTCCTTTACAACTCTCTCTCCTTGATTTTTTTCACGAACATTTCCAGTTTTTCCTGAATAAATAATCCCATTTAGAGGGTATGCATTCTCGGCATCGCAAATCCACCAAATTTTGACCCCAATAAACGCATACATTTCTTGTATAGTTATTGGCTTCCACAATCGCTGTGAATCTGGATTATTCCCGTTATAATTATTATACACTTTGGTAGCTTTGTTGTTAGTATAGCAAACAATAAGATCTACCATTTCGACTGTAATAATTGTTTTGAAAGTATCTTGTACCGATAAACTTTCTGTAGATCTGTGTGGGCCACTTCTTTGCCGTAAAACATTGTGAGAAGGAGTTTGACGTACTTGAGGCGGCGTCTTACTCCAAACGGTTTTATCTTTCGCTATGTACGCATTATCATTTTCTGTACCTGCTTCGTCTGTTGCTGACGTACCTGCCGCTTGACTCTCGCTTTCGCTCTCGCTTTCGTCGGACTCAACATCGCCCTCCCCTTCTCCTTCGGGCGCCTCGTCAGCATTTTCCGTATCTGATAGCGGTTCTTCGGCTAGGGCTTCACCCGGCAGCCAATCCTCATCTTCACTATCGTCTTCGAACTCTGATTCTTCATCGTCACCAAGTAAACGTTTCAAAAACGTATCTCTTTGAACATGATTCAATCTAGATTCAATAAAAATGAGTTTTTCAATTGAAAAATGTAATATAAGCAAGAAACAGCAATGACAATTATATTAGGAAATAAACTTTACCTTGCAAATTCAGATCTCGATAGTTCTTCCTCCATGATGAATAATTCCTGCACTGATGAATAATTATTACAAGTCACAGAAATGTTGAAAATCAAGTGTTTATCACACAGCGATGAATTTGAAGAGAAAAGAGGCGACGCTCTACCAACGCGCTCCTGGGCGCTCAACACGTAGTCCTGGTTCGTTCCGTTGTATGTACACGTCTGTTCTCCTCAATAACGCGATTCTTAATGACGCACAGCTTGGTAATTTTGAACATATGCCGGTCGCCGAGAGGCTAAACTGACCGCGCGCTACCTGTGTAGCGCTCGGAGACCCTACTTCTATTTGTTTTCATGGAACTGTAGTAGGCAATCAAGAATTAAGAAAAACTAGTGGTGAGTACCCCGGTACTCGGGTGTGTAACAACGAGGTAAAAGTTGGGTGTGCACATAAGGGTTAAAGTCACCCAGAAAAACATAAACCATCTTTTGCCCTTTTGTCGCCAAGGTTCTTCTCACATCAACACGATACTCACAACCTGTTTGGTCCGTGTTGATAACGAAATCAGGGGAGAAACTTTTAATTATAATTGCTACACGCTTCTGAAATTTTTCAGCTTCTTTCCATATTGTCGGCAAATCCAATTTTTGCTTTTGTAGACTTTAGGTAACGTGTTACATTTCGTTGACGAATAGAATGGGTCGTCTTAAACTTCGTCACTATGTCCGTTTGCAGCTGTTAGAGAAGAATTGTTATCTTTATGATAATCTGAAAGAATGTTACGAGGTATGACTGAAATATCAGCTCCTGTATCAATTAAAAAATGTAATATTGTAGCGATCAAAAATAAATAAACGCGAAGAGTTATTATTTTGTGAATTATTGTTATTAAATTTTGAATTATAAAATGTTGAAACCTTTATGCGTTTTTTGAGAAATTGGTGTTTGAGTTTTGGTTATGAAAATGTGGATAAGAGCCGCACCAAGGACATTTCAACGCTTTATCTTTGAATCTGTAGTGGTAATAACAAAGTGAAGAAGAAGAAGAAGATTGATCTTCATTTATACGATTTCTAGAGTTAGAACGCGATCTATATCTTTGTTGACAATTTTGACAACTAAAATTTGGTCTATAATTGTCTCTATCTTTAACTTGATTTTGAAGGTTGGTAATTTGGGTTTCCATAATTGCTTGTTTTTGAGAAATATTTGTAATAAGTGATTGACAAGAAATGTTTAGATCACTAATTGCTTTTATTAAAGATAAATTATCTTGTTGATTCAATTGAGCTGTCGAAACATCCGCATTTTGATTAATGTTGAAAACATTATTATGAGGAGCAAATTGTCCAGATTTTTCATGTCTAGATTCTTTTGTCACTCTACACTTGTAGGGCTTGCATTCAGGGGAAGTTAAGGAAGTTACAGCTATCAAAGATATTGTCAACATCACTCACAAATTTGGCAATAGCCAAAGCTCTTGATGGAAGCATTCCTAAAATACAATTTTCAAGTAGCAACTAATATATACGATAGTTATTTACCATTTATTACTGCATTGTAGAGACAAATTCCTGTTGACCGACTGAGTGTTTGAGCTGCAATTTTAACTTTCATTGAATTTTGCCTCAGTGGGGCAAAGTAATAATCTTTAATTTTATAGAGGCTCTTAAAAATGACTGAAGAGTTTTTGTCTCTTTCGTAGACTGCTACAATATCAGACCACCTCGCCTGTAAATCATGGGCATTCACTGACGGCAGAATATCACAAGCAGGTATTTGAACATTGTATTTTTTGAATAAATTTCTAGTACATTTCAATAAATGCGGAACATCAAATATTGTTGATTATTTTCCCTTCATGTTCAAAATATGGATGTGTTTCTGTAGACCCCATGTCCTTTAACGTTTTAACATTTGACGTTCCCATATCGCACACTGTTGCTATCACTAGTATACCATTTGCGCAGAGAGCTGTTAGAATGTCCCTTAATATACCTTGCAGTCTTGCAGAATTTACACTTCCTCTGCTAAAATAGAAAGCAATAGGCTGCTTCCATGCTCTCACAATGCCCTGAACCATGAAAACAAGGGCATAGTTAGCACATCTATTTGTCCTTTCAGCGCCAAACTCCTCCAATCCCTCTACACAGTCGGTATGTGAGTTATATTGAACATGCTCCCTGATAGCCATTTCATCAAAAGTCAGGGTGCAAAGTCGTTCACTTTTTGAAAACGTTTTCAGGCATTCTCCCAAATGTTTAAATATATAGGTGGATTTATGCCCACATTAAAAGTCACATTTTCAAGTAGAGTGTTAAGGGTTTTTATTGAAGGGAATGCTAATAACCTTCTTAGTAGTCTATAGCATTTGGGAACACTCTTGTAAACTGCCAATGCCATAATTTTATCATCTAATGTCCACCTTCTTCCAAAAGGTGAACGTTCGCTGCATCTTATTTGCGATATAATAAAATTTGATATTGTTTGGGACATGCCTACAATGTAATAAAATAAAACCACTTTTAACACTAGTATCATACAGTATTTTTTGTGAGACAGCCGTTAGAATTGAAGGGTTTCTTTCAAAAACGACACATGTCACAAAATGCGTTTTCTCAGAAACGGTAAAAAAACATTCTAAGTTGTTTATGTTACGTTTTGGGAAAAAAATGCTTTTGTCAGTTATTTATGACTGTTGGTGCCAACTGATTTCTTATACAGGTGATTCATAAGTAATGGGCCAAATTGTAAATGTACGTTCAGGAGGCCAAAATAATAATATTTTCATTAACAATAATGGGTCTTAGTCTGCTCCTTACTGAGATACAGGATGTTAAAGCGAAAAAAATAAAATAGATTTTTGTTAATAGATCAGCTACTTTTCTACATAATGACTCATAGTTGACTTATAGTTTTTGTAAGGGTAAACAATAATGTGTGAGAGGATTTGAGTTAACTCGTAGATGTCGCCACATGCGCCATATGAATTAGATGAAATCAGCTACAAATTTTTTATCGCTCATTATTTTACAACATACTTGTTTAATTTGGATAGCCCCATCATTTCTGTAGAAAAAAGCTATACTTCTTTGATCTTGAAAATATTAACGATTTTCGAGATATTTGAATTTTACTAATTCACTACACTACATTTCACGGTGGTCGACGTAGCATTAATCTGTTAAGACACAAGCATGGCATGGAATGTTGACATTTACCTAACCGTAATTGATAATTGATAACAATATTAAACTGAAACCATAAAAAAATTACGTAATAAAACAATTTATTGTACGCCAGTTAATAAAACGAAATACAACATTAGAACAGACTTGAACTAAGACCACTTACGACAACTGTTATCAAAACCTACATGTTAATGTTGTGCGAAGTTAAATTAAATTTAAGCTTAATTATGAGCTACTGCAAAAGGTTTTCAACATGACCACCACCAGCATTTATACACGCATTTAACCGTTTGGTTAAGGATTGTCTGACTTTAAAAAATGTAGCAGGATTATTTCGTATTGAATTGGCTGCATCTTGAATTCTATTCCATAACTCGTCTCGTGTATTTATAGTAGGTTCAGCATAGACCATTGATTTCATGTAACCCCACACATAAAAATCAAGTGGATTAAAATCGGGACTGCGAGGTGGCCACTGAAATTCACTACCACGTCCAATCCAACGGTGAGGGAATGTTTCATTCAGATGTTCGCGCACAGCACGTGAAAAATGTGGAGGAGCACCGTCTTGCATGAACCACATATTTCTTCTTAGTTGTAATGGAAGATCTCCCAAGAGGTCGACTAAGTCATTATTTAAAAAAATTAAATATGACTCTCCATTTAAATTAGGAGGTAATTCAACTGGGCCCAGTAATGTATTGCCTATTACACCGCACCACACATTTATTTTAAACTCGTGCTGGAAATGTCTATCTTTTTTTAAACGAGGGTTTTCGGTTTCCCAGGCATGACTATTTCGCCAATTAAAAACTCCGCGTCTGGTAAAGGTTGCTTCATCCGTGAAAAGAATGTTATTTAGGAATGTTGGATTATTATTCAATTTTCCTTTTAGCCACTGACAAAATTGAACTCTGATTCGATAATCTGTTGGAAGTAAATTTTGCACAGGTATAAAATGATAGGGATATAAATTTTCCTTGTGTAAAATTCTAGTCACGGATGGTTGGCTTATTCCAGTTGCTGCAGACAATCGACGAGTGCTTATTTCAGAATTTTGCGCAATTCTTACCAAAATTTCATCTTCTTGCTGCGGAGTGATAATCTTAGGACGTCCTGTATGATATTTTGGACGAAATGAACCTGTTTCACCCAATCGATTATAAATATTTTGAAATATCTTCCGGTTTGGCTGCCTTCTGTAAGGGTACATTTCACGATATTTTCTGGATGCTGCTTGCCCAGAAAAACGTTCTTGTGCGTAAACGCATAACATGTCTCTCATTTCTTCGTTTGAAAAGTGATTATGTCTCGGCATTTTGATTTATGTTAGGACAAGAATGAATCAGTTTACTTAACAATAAAATGTTTTAAACTATTCATTAAACGTAAAAGCTCATTGACGTTTCATAATTCATATGGCGCATGTGGCGACATCTACGAGTTAACTCAAATCCTCTCACACATTATTGTTTACCCTTACAAAAACTATAAGTCAACTATGAGTCATTATGTAGAAAAGTAGCTGATCTATTAACAAAAATCTATTTTATTTTTTTCGCTTTAACATCCTGTATCTCAGTAAGGAGCAGACTAAGACCCATTATTGTTAATGAAAATATTATTATTTTGGCCTCCTGAACGTACATTTACAATTTGGCCCATTACTTATGAATCACCCTGTATAATCCAATAATTACATGATCAGTGAAACCAGTAAATCAAAAAAAAGTTTGGACATGTGATGTTTTTCAGGGAAACAATAAAACATCCAAATACTAAAGATACAAAAAACGGTATTTTTTATTGGATAATGTAAAAATTACAGGTTTTAGAAAATTTATTAAATGTCAAGAAATTAAAAATATTAAAAATCATCGCATCCTCGTCGATCTCGTTGATAGCCTCCGTTTTGGTTTTCTCATTAGCAGAGAAGACTTCTTCATAAAATTTCCTATGTTCTGGCGTTTTCAGGTAATCTATTAATGTTCTGAGGTTGCTTATCTTTAACTGAGAAATTTTCACCTGTTCTACATATGAGGGTTTCAAAACCATCTCAGTAGGCAATCGAACTTTATTTCGAATTACACAGCTTCTCCAGAAGCCATTGTAGGTATCTCTTACACTTATGGTAGGTGTAGTATTTTCTAGTTGTAGTTGCCTGATGCTCTATATTTTAATAGCAGGTTTTGGAAGTTTAAGAAAATATTTTTCGGTTGCTGCCTTTACGTTAAAAAACTTGTCTTGGTTAAAGTTGATAACTTCAAAAGGAACTGGCTTTTCTCTGGCTCTGCGTATTAGGTCATCCCATTGTTCAGGAACCTCCACTCTTTCCATACGCCTTTTCTTTTTTTCTATTAAAGCAAAATCCTGGTCACTAGGCAGGTACGAGTGGCCTCGAACCGGGAAAATGTATAAGATGCTGGTGAAAACTTTCAAAACATGGACTAAAAAATACAAGAAGTATACCATAACATGGTTTTTGTTTTGCCCCGGACAGCCATCGCTTATAAGAACCAAGCGTTTGAAAGTAAATTCGTTGCTATTTATGTAGTGGAGAAGCATAGATGTCATATCATTACTCCCCTTTTTACCTACGCCTTCATGGTAAGTATACATCGTAACCTTCTTACTTCCCAAATTATGGATTCCAAAAAGATAATACCATAACTGACGAGCGTAAAAGACTGGATTACTGGGAATGTAAGGCATAGGCAGGTTTTGCATAAAATCAAATGATAAGCATTCGATCTCTCCAGCCTCAGCTTGCGCTTTATATTTTCTTCGTAACTCAAAGAAAGCATCTGCTTTTCGCAAATGTAATTCCCTCTCGGTTGTCAATTTAGTAAGCTCTTCGGCTGTAAGGGTTTTGTCATTAAGTTTTTGCTGAAAAATGTCGCATTGGGCACATGTATCCGAACGAGGGAAGCCAAATTTTATATTGAGTTCTCGTTTGAAGGTAATCCAATATATTTTGTAGGAGATATTTATTTTATATTCACCCACAAACATTTTATGCATGTCCTTTACTGTTAATCCCTCAGGTAGAAAATATCTGTTAGGATTATCACGTCGAGAATAATGGGACTGTCTCGGTTGGAAGGACATTATATGTGATTTTATTAGATCGATCACTTCAGGAGGAAACTGCTTATTTCTATTAGTATGATGACCCCTGGCGTCCTTAGGAGATTTACCTACAGTTACTAAAGAGTTTTGAAGCCTTCGTAATCTAGAAGGTGTAACTGCGTGGCTTTTTAAAAAACCTTATTGGCAAAGGTAATGTTCTTCACCCTGATAGCGAACTTTATACAAGAAGGTAGCACATTTAGTTTTTCGTGCATCAGCTGGAGTATCTCTAGGGCGTCGCCTATTTATATGTTTTACTTGAATTAGCCTACAAAGATGACTATCTTGTTAATTTTTGTCAGCCATGGAGTAAAACTGGGCAAAAATTTCTTTCCGTGCGGCATCCGGTAACTTTTCGAGACAATTATCTTTACATCTTAAAAAAATAATTATCGATTAATCTAAACGAATAAGGTAAAAACTTACCCACAAATAGCTCCTGGTAAACGTTTTGCAACACGTTTTCCGCAATGATTAACGTGTTCTTCGCCTTTCACTTTTAGTTTCTTAATATTATCCGCCTTTCTTTCTTTCTTTCGTTTCCTCTTCGGCCACTGACGACCTTCAGTGCCCTCAACATTATTTTCCATTTTTCTTTAACACACTATACAAAACAAACGTTGACAAACCGACCAATATTTTGAGGTTAAACTTACAACTGCCGGCACTCTAACATTTATAGCAAAAACAACACAAGTCCAGGACATATGTCGTTTTTGCAGGAACGCGATGTGGACATGTGTTGTTTTTAAGGAAACGCATAAACTTTACCGCTTCATAAAACATGCTTCTGTGCTGTTTTTGATTGATATGGTTAATGTTATACCTAGACACGGCTACAAACCACAAGATGGCGCAATTATCTAAAAAACGTCATTTATGGACATGTGTCGTTTTTGAAATAAACCCTTCAATTGTTAAAAAATTAAAATTGAAGGGTTTCTTTCAAAAACAGCACTTGTCAAAAAACCGAAATTTTCAGGAGAACCAAAAAATGTATTATCTTCTTCAGCATGCAATAGTTTGAAAATACAATTTTAGCACTAGTTAGAGCAGTAGATAACTGTTGGTTATGGTTATGTTCAGTTTATCGAAAATTGTTACAGACTCCATTTTTGATTTTGGGCATTGACATGTGTTGTTTTTCGAAGAAAATCATAAAAAAGTTCGACAATTCCTTTTCTTTCCATTTCTTTTTGAGATCATAAAAAGCCTTAGCTTTTCTCAAATGAAGTTCCTTTTGTGCTTTTAAAGTGGCTTTTATTTTTTCATCATTTTCTGCTGCAGATAGCTTTTGAATGAAGGAATCGCAAATTGTGCATGTGTCAGTCCTCGGCAAGCCAAATTTGATGTTAAATTTCGAATGAAAAATTGACCAATAGACTTTATAAGAGACTTGAATCTTATAGTCTTCTAAGAAAAGTCTGTACATATGCCGAACACTTAACGCTTCGGGTAAGTAATAACGATTGGGATTATGCCTTAGTGAATAATGAGACTGTCTAGGTTTGAAGGACCTGATGTGATCGTTTATTAAGTTTTCAACTTCAGTAGGTATTGCATTAGGTCTACTTTTATGTAAGCCCCTTTTATCCACTGGTGATTTTAAACATTCACATAGACTTGATTGTAGTCGCCTAAGTTGGGCAGGGGTTATGCCGTGTAGGCTAAGAAACGCTTTTTTGCATACTGAAACTTCTTTGCAACTATTATTTGCATCAGGTTGCTTCGTACGCACCTTATAGGTATAGTGAGCTGCATGTTCATGATCAGCTGCAGTGTTGTCTTCATCGGAATCGGAGTATTGCACAAGTACTTGCTTTTGTGGTTTTCTAGATCTTCTTTGTTTGATTGGCACCACATGAATGAGGCCACATAAATGAGAATCTTGCAAATTTTTTGTTGGTATTTTATAAAAATTCTCAAAAATAATTTCCCGTTCTACTGCAGATAACACACTGAAGCATTTAAATCGAACGCATCTACAACAAAAAATGTGAGGTTAAGAAAATAAGAAGAATATTATTATCTTAAAACTAACCTGCAGTCCTCGCCTATTTGTCTATTTGAAATGAATTTGCCTTTGTGGTTCACATGTGCAACACCCTTAACCTTCTTGTCACGAATAACATCGCTTTTTTTCGGTTTTTTAGCTCGTTTTAATAGGATAGCATTTGCCGCTGCTTCCATTTTGACGTTTGAGAATTTGCCCAATTTCCGGCAAGAACAGCATATGTCACTGACAAGTGCTGTTTTTGCGGAACGGTGTATATTTTAAACGTACGAATAACCCTGACAGGAGTTTTTTTTGCCAGAAACAATTTTTGTACTGCTAGATATAACGTAAATGAAGCCAGTGCTGCCGCTATCGAAAAAATGAAATTTCATGACAAGTGTTGTTTTTAAAAGAAACCCTTCAATTCAAAAAATTTTACAGAAATGTTACAAAGTGCAAATAATGAGCCATATGTATTAATACTTCATTTTACCTTTAAATATGTTCTTGTTTTGGAGAAATGTCTGTACATCCCATAATTCATGCTTTTGTGTATGCGTGCCTTGCAGACTTTCTTCAGTTTCCTGATGTAATCCTCCTTACGCCTAACCATGGACATTAATTGTCTTTTTCTTGGTGAAATGTCAGTACGGCATAATCCCTCGACACTTTTAACCCTCGCCCGGCGAAGGCAGGGTCATTGTGACCCGGGATTTCAGCGCAATCTTACCAGAAATTTTACGTGTGTCGGTTGAACGGTATCAGGTAAAAAATAATGAGCACGTCAGTTCATGCCAATTTAATTCCTTATGAAATGTGATCATTTATTTTTGCATTTTTTTCAATTTCATTGTTTCTGTAATGATTAAATAAAATCTTCGTCTACATTGTAAACTGATGACTTTTAGTGCCTTTTTTGTGAGTACACGTAGTAACTATTCAAACGACGAACGTGTTCACCAACGCTGCGGCGGCGTCGCGGCGTCTTTTTTTATCTGGCGCCGGGGGTTTTGCACATATGCATGGCGCGGAACTGGGTATCATGACTCATTACCTAATTCGAGTTTTATTTGTATATTTGAGTCAGAAAGCGAGTGAACCGATAGAGGTGTAGTGCATTTTACTTCAACTGCGTAAAAACATGGAAAACACTACGAATTTTAGTGATTTTGCCAGAGATGAAGAAGACGATGAGTTTTCAGAGGAAGAATCATGTAGCACAATGAGCGATGTGGAACCGGAAATGCAAGATAGTGAAGCGGATATATTTACTGCGTCGGAATCAGATGAAGAAGATAATGATAACCGAAGTGAAACGATTTGTAATCGTACATGGAAATATATTGCTCCGAAATCTGTTGAATGCCCACAGAGTGTTCATCAAAGTGGCTCTTTGACAAATAAAAGTCGAAATGTAAAATCTATAGAAGAATGTTTCAAATTATTCATGGACGATAGTATCATTGCAAACATTGTTACACACACCAATCAAAGAGCCAATGCACATTACGCTACTGACTTTCACTCTTGGAAAGAAGTAGATTCCATAGAAATATATGCAGTTCTAGGTCTTCTACTACTCATCGGAAGATTTAGAGAATCTCGTGAAAGCAGGAACGACTTATGGCGAAAAGACAATGTATTATCAAGGCAGATGTATACCGTGGTTATGGCACGTGACAGATTCAAAGATATTCTGAGGTTCATAAGATTTGACAATACGGAAACCCGGGAAGATAGAAAAAAAGTGGATAAATTAGCACCTATACGGGAAGTATCAGATATGTTTGCGGCAAATTGTCGGGAATCTTACGAGGCATCAAATACAGGTACAGTAGATGAACAACTAGTTACATACCGGGGACGGTGTCCCTTCAAAGTTTATATGCCGTCAAAACCAGGGAAATATGGTATAAAAATATGGACACTTTGCGATGCCAAAACATATTACTGTTGCAATTTCGACATTTATCTGGGTAAGATCGGACAAATTCCTGAAAAGGATCAAGGCCAACGCGTTGTCAAACAACTAACTGATTTTTGGAAGAATTCTAATCGTGTTATAACCACAGATAATTTTTTTACGAGCATAATATTAGCGGAATATTTATTAGATAATGGTTGCTTTCTTGTGGGCACAATTCGCAAAAATAGAAAAGATCTTCCAAAATCTATTGTTGGCACTTATCATAGAGAACAATATTCATCGCAATTTCTGTTCACAAATAAGTTGACTTTAGTCTCATATGTACCTAAGATACGAAAATGTGTTGTTTTACTTTCAAGTATACATCATGAATTCAGTATATCTAATTCCGAAAATAATTTCAAACCTGAAATTATAAAGTACTACAATTCGACAAAAAGTGGTGTAGACACACTAGATAAATTACTAAGAGAATACACATGTCGTCGATCCACAAGACGCTGGCCCATGTCTCTCTTTCAAAATTTTATAGATATTGCAGCTTATAATGCATTGGTTATTTGGATAACCAAAAACCCTGAATGGGAGTCAAAAAGTTCTATGAAAAATAAACGAAAAATATTTCTTGAGATTTTAGCAAAAGAGTTAGTTACAGAATATATTGAGCGACGGGCACAACGATTCGAAAACAACGCAACAGGGTTACATAAACACATAGCACAAGCATTTGAAGCGTACGGTAGACCAATAAGAANCAACAAAAAATGTGAGGTTAAGAAAATAAGAAGAATATTATTATCTTAAAACTAACCTGCAGTCCTCGCCTATTTGTCTATTTGCAATGAATTTGCCTTTGTGGTTCACATGTGCAACACCCTTAACCTTCTTGTCACGAATAACATCGCTTTTTTTCGGTTTTTTAGCTCGTTTTAATAGGATAGCATTTGCCGCTGCTTCCATTTTGACGTTTGAGAATTTGCCCAATTTCCGGCAAGAACAGCATATATCACTGACAAGTGCTGTTTTTGCGGAACGGTGTATATTTTAAACGTACGAATAACCCTGACAGGAGTTGTTTTTGCCAGAAACAATTTTTGTACTGCTAGATATAACGTAAATGAAGCCAGTGCTGCCGCTATCGAAAAAATGAAATTTCATGACAAGTGTTGTTTTTAAAAGAAACCCTTCAATTCAAAAAATTTTACAGAAATGTTACAAAGTGCAAATAATGAGCCATATGTATTAATACTTCATTTTACCTTTAAATATGTTCTTGTTTTGGAGAAATGTCTGTACATCCCATAATTCATGCTTTTGTGTATGCGTGCCTTGCAGACTTTCTTCAGTTTCCTGATGTAATCCTCCTTACGCCTAACCATGGACATTAATTGTCTTTTTCTTGGTGAAATGTCAGTACGGCATAATCCCTCGACACTTTTAACCCTCGCCCGGCGAAGGCAGGGTCATTGTGACCCGGGATTTCAGCGCAATCTTACCAGAAATTTTACGTGTGTCGGTTGAACGGTATCAGGTAAAAAATAATGAGCACGTCAGTTCATGCCAATTTAATTCCTTATGAAATGTGATCATTTATTTTTGCATTTTTTTCAATTTCATTGTTTCTGTAATGATTAAATAAAATCTTCGTCTACATTGTAAACTGATGACTTTTAGTGCCTTTTTTGTGAGTACACGTAGTAACTATTCAAACGACGAACGTGTTCACCAACGCTGCGGCGGCGTCGCGGCGTCTTTTTTTATCTGGCGCCGGGGGTTTTGCACATATGCATGGCGCGGAACTGGGTATCATGACTCATTACCTAATTCGAGTTTTATTTGTATATTTGAGTCAGAAAGCGAGTGAACCGATAGAGGTGTAGTGCATTTTACTTCAACTGCGTAAAAACATGGAAAACACTACGAATTTTAGTGATTTTGCCAGAGATGAAGAAGACGATGAGTTTTCAGAGGAAGAATCATGTAGCACAATGAGCGATGTGGAACCGGAAATGCAAGATAGTGAAGCGGATATATTTACTGCGTCGGAATCAGATGAAGAAGATAATGATAACCGAAGTGAAACGATTTGTAATCGTACATGGAAATATATTGCTCCGAAATCTGTTGAATGCCCACAGAGTGTTCATCAAAGTGGCTCTTTGACAAATAAAAGTCGAAATGTAAAATCTATAGAAGAATGTTTCAAATTATTCATGGACGATAGTATCATTGCAAACATTGTTACACACACCAATCAAAGAGCCAATGCACATTACGCTACTGACTTTCACTCTTGGAAAGAAGTAGATTCCATAGAAATATATGCAGTTCTAGGTCTTCTACTACTCATCGGAAGATTTAGAGAATCTCGTGAAAGCAGGAACGACTTATGGCGAAAAGACAATGTATTATCAAGGCAGATGTATACCGTGGTTATGGCACGTGACAGATTCAAAGATATTCTGAGGTTCATAAGATTTGACAATACGGAAACCCGGGAAGATAGAAAAAAAGTGGATAAATTAGCACCTATACGGGAAGTATCAGATATGTTTGCGGCAAATTGTCGGGAATCTTACGAGGCATCAAATACAGGTACAGTAGATGAACAACTAGTTACATACCGGGGACGGTGTCCCTTCAAAGTTTATATGCCGTCAAAACCAGGGAAATATGGTATAAAAATATGGACACTTTGCGATGCCAAAACATATTACTGTTGCAATTTCGACATTTATCTGGGTAAGATCGGACAAATTCCTGAAAAGGATCAAGGCCAACGCGTTGTCAAACAACTAACTGATTTTTGGAAGAATTCTAATCGTGTTATAACCACAGATAATTTTTTTACGAGCATAATATTAGCGGAATATTTATTAGATAATGGTTGCTTTCTTGTGGGCACAATTCGCAAAAATAGAAAAGATCTTCCAAAATCTATTGTTGGCACTTATCATAGAGAACAATATTCATCGCAATTTCTGTTCACAAATAAGTTGACTTTAGTCTCATATGTACCTAAGATACGAAAATGTGTTGTTTTACTTTCAAGTATACATCATGAATTCAGTATATCTAATTCCGAAAATAATTTCAAACCTGAAATTATAAAGTACTACAATTCGACAAAAAGTGGTGTAGACACACTAGATAAATTACTAAGAGAATACACATGTCGTCGATCCACAAGACGCTGGCCCATGTCTCTCTTTCAAAATTTTATAGATATTGCAGCTTATAATGCATTGGTTATTTGGATAACCAAAAACCCTGAATGGGAGTCAAAAAGTTCTATGAAAAATAAACGAAAAATATTTCTTGAGATTTTAGCAAAAGAGTTAGTTACAGAATATATTGAGCGACGGGCACAACGATTCGAAAACAACGCAACAGGGTTACATAAACACATAGCACAAGCATTTGAAGCGTACGGTAGACCAATAAGAAGAAAGAATCAGACTCCACAAACATCTTCAAAACGATCACGTTGTCATGTTTGTGTGGGAAACGACAATAAATATAGTAAAAAATGTGAACAATGTAATAATTTTATATGTCATAATCATACAGTACCTACTAAAATTCTATGTATAGATTGTTCTTCAACATAAATAAACTAGTTTATAATATTTTGTATTAGTACATTTTTTATTTTCCCTTCTTAACAAAATATTATTTTGATGTGGGTCTAATTGACCCGGTATTCGACTCGCGCGTCGCTATCAAGGCATCCGTCATCCGAGGGTTAAATAAGGATTTTCTTACACGAGGAGTATGGTCATTTTGTTTATCATCTGCACAGACTAGTGAAGACTGTGTTGGAGGTGGGGTAGCCTCGTTGGTAGCTGACTTAACTGGTAGTAGGTCTGCATCCATATTTCCAGGTGAATAGTCTTGTTCAAAATCTGCATAGGCTGCTGAAGGTTGTGTAGGAGGTAGGGTAGCCTCGGGGGTAGCTGACTTAACTGGTACTACTTCACCTTCAATATTTACAGGTAATAATAATCCTGTAAATTTGATGCTACTTTATTATTCTTTACTATATTGTATTGTTGATTGTGTCGTAATTAAGGTTAATACACACAAATTATTCGTTTTTTTGACTGAATATGGTAACCCTATTAATACGCCATACATACATAAAAATAAAGATTTGAAGATTTACGTATAATTTCATCATTAGTGCGTGCTGTTACAACGTCTAAAATTTCTTCATTTATCATGAGACTCCAGGCTTCTTCATATGTCTTTACAAGTCTACCTGCGTCCTTAGGTCCAGGAAGATGTAACACTATATTATGCTGTTTTGGGCGGCCTTGCCTACTCGGTATAGAGGACCATTTATGACCATTTTTTCCACGTAGACTTGCAATATTTCTAAATCGTTTATTACTGTTATTATCACCTTGTTGCCTTTCCTGTTCTTCTTCTGTAGTTTCATATTCCAATTCTTCCTGAACACTCTGTTCACTATCGCTTTCAGAAAGCTCTTGTACATAATCTTCATCACTATGGATATCGGCTCGGCAAGTCTACGATTTCACAATTAGTCGAGCAAGTTTGTGCGGTAGCCTGGGATAAATTGAAGGGAATATATATGCCAGAGATGACAAGAGAAATGTGGGAACATGTGGCTAAAGATTTTGAGAAGTGAAACATGTTAGATTAGTACAACCACCGCACACGGGCTCAATTTCGTCAGTGTTTTTTCTTCAATTGAAGCATTAATTTCAATGTTAATAACAGAACTACGAATACAAATTGTAATTGCAAACAACAAATTTAAGACAGCCAGAATAAAAAAATTCTACAAAGCGACTAAAATTAAAAGTATTACAGCGAAAACGAGCAGTACACAGAATTAATGATAAAATGTTATACTTATAAAATAATTATTGTTTTTAAACTAACAATTGATCGTTAGACAATTACAAATATGTCAAAATTGACGTTGACGTTTCTAACCGGAAGTTGACCATAACTTCATTAATATTGAAGATAAATATGTCGAATTTGTACTCATTTTAAAGGATTTTTTATGAAGTTGACAAACATGTCAAAATTAAAAGTTGGAAGTTCGAACTTTTTGGTTCTTTGAGATAAATGCGTCAAGTTTGGACTCACTTTAAAGGTTATTTTATGAAGAAACGAATATAATAATATTCGACCGTTTCTAGTTCTCGTTCTAGTTTTAGTTCAATAAAAATATACAACATAGTAATATCTTATGCTAACTAGCGCTACCTACCACTGCCACTAGAACTATCTCTAAGCCGAATGATTCTAGTTCTAGGTCTTGTGTTAGTTCTAGTGATAGTGCAAAACTAGAACTAACACTAGACCTAGAACTAGAAATATTCGGGTTTAGCCGTGCGTCTTCAGACTTTTCTAATTTCTTGTCTAAGACGCCCGGCTAAACCTAAAACTTTCTAGTTCTAGGTCTAGTGTTAGTTCTAGTTAATCCTTAAATTATTTTTTTGATTTAATCCGCTTACCTTGCCTATAATTTCATCCATTTCCCCATTTTGAATTAAATACAACCTTTAAATCCAATTAATTATGTGTTTTTCATTAAAAAAACTTAAATTCAACGTCAATTTTGACAAGCAACTGCAATATTTGGATCTTAATCACATTGGTAACCGAGTTAAGTTGGATAACCTTAAAATAATAAAATTTTATTCCGACTTTTTTATCAATTTTAACCTAATTTTTATTAATTTTAAGGCAATTCGAATTCTTTACGATTATCTCGCATTCATAACAAATTCGTTAATTGCAATTAATTTAAATCGATTCTAATTAAGAGAAATAAATTAAAAATATCTTTTTTTGATTTAATTCACTTACCTTGTTTATAATTCCCTAGATAAACCAACTTTGAGTTAAATACAGCCTTTTAAACCAATTAAATAAGACGTTTTCCTTAAAAAACTTAAATTCAATTTCAATTTTGACAAGCATCTGCAATATTTGGATCTGAATCACCATGGTAATTGGTAACCGAGTCAAGTGGGATAACCTTAAGCTGGATTTACACCTGCAAGAAAAATCGCGATAGTATTCGCGCAAGTGCTGTATTGTAGTGTAAACAGATAGATGCAATTTTTCCTGACAGTTGGATGCGAGTTGACCTGCGAGCTCTTACGCGAGCCAGTGTCACAGATTGTTGCTACAGTAAGAGTAAGTAATTTATTTACATTTGACATCACCGAATGCAATTTCAACTCAAGCAAGTAGTTAGTTCCAAGACAGCGTCAGTCTGTTTTTAACCATGCCACAATCCAGACGTGCTAAAACTGCTGCTGCACTTCTTGTAGCGGAATATTGGTTTCGAAAAGAAGAACGAAAAAGGAAAAAGAGGAAGATCTGGGTTAGAGAATGGATTGAGAGAAGAAACGAGTTAGGAGCATTTAAAAGTTTAGTTAATGAGTTAAGAATAGAAGATTCGCAACAGTTTAGGAATTTTATTCGGATGTCTAGTACAGAGCTGGAAGATCTGCTGTTTATTGTTGGGCCGAAGATCCAAAAACAAGATACCGTTTTGAGGGAATCAATATCAGCAAGCGAGAAGTTGATGGTTACTCTACGCTTCCTTGCTACTGGTAAGTTACGAGATTCTATATTAGTATTTTCTTAATAAAGATTCGTGAATTTTTATAAGCTTTAGAAACAAAATTATTTTCCTTCTGTAAAAGATATTTACCTTTACTCAAACTAAATGTTTTTTGTAGGTGATTCATATAATTCTTTGATGTATCTATTCAGAATCCCAGCTTGTACCATAAGTATAGTCGTACCAGAAGTCTGTAAAGCAATATTTGATACCCTCAAAGAAACTTTGCTGAAGGTAAGTTTATTACTATTGTACTTGCTTCTAAATTGTGTGAAAACATTGCTGTTCAACATTACTAACTTCTATTACAAAATAAGGGTTTGTATTTGTAACACGATAACATTACATTGATCGAAGTCAAACATGCGGAGACAGTCATACTTGTGAGAATATGTAATATATAATAAATAAAACACGGGTTTAAAAACGTAATATCAATGATGGTTATATTTTAAATAGAAACATTTAAATAAAAAGAACGTTCTTTTTGTTGAATCAAAAATATAAGTTGATTGTTCACATTTAAAAAATTTAAGTATAATGACAGAGTTGGACAGATCTTTAATTGTAGTTAGCGAACATCGACGATTGTTGTTCAGGTTGTTCGTGTGTAACTAGGAATCCTTGTGTAGACATCGGTTGCATGTTATGGTACTGCAGTGCAAAGGAAGAATGTTCACTTGAGCTAGTAGACGGGGACAGCAGCGGCGTTTGATGAGAACAATTGGTATAATATATCCCTCCGGGCTTGTAAATTTCACCCATTGCTTCAGCTTCTCCAATATTTGTAATTGCTTCCATAACAATTTTCTTAAAAATCCGTTTGTTGGGAGGGTTTTTCATTTGTCTCATCTCTGAGGCACAAAATCACCAAAGATTTGTTCCTCGTCGTTAGCTTGATTAAGTTGGCTCATTGCCTGTTGAACGTAGAATGGCATTTCTTGAGAAGGTTTGACTTTTTTTTTCTTCGTTTGAGGATTTCGAAGCGCTTCCTGCTCTGCTTGTACTTGTTCAACTACAGATGTAGAAGAATGATTAATGGCCTCGTCGTCCCATTCGTTTCATTCATAATTTCCGTGTTTCCCTTCTTTTGTTTCACTGTCTGAAAAGAAAATTGCCTTTAAAATATGTGCGTTCAAAAATAAACTGTACACAATTATTTTGAGCCATACGTATTTAAATGTGATACGTATTTTTGTGTATACTACAACCAAGATAATATGGCATCTGAGGATACTCATGAAAGATTCACCGCTATTATTCACTCCGTGAAAAATGACTACCATTTTGTTTTAGAAAACTTATTCATAAGGTATATATTATAAGGTAGTCGTGGATAAATAAAATATTAACAGAAATGACAGCTTTCTTATATTGAGGTTATGTCTGAAATGTCTATCAAGTTTATTTTTTTTCCTTTTTTTGATTTTTTTTTCAAAATTAAATAGTTGTAGATACAGTATAGTATTCAACTTGCGTATAATGGATGTTACCTACTCAGATTACAACACTCGCTCGCTTCGCTTGCGCGTGTTGCAACTTCTTCTTCGTGGGTAACAGCCACCATCATACGCTTGTTGAATAATATACTATTATTATATTGATTTTTGATTTTATTATATTAAAATGGTTTGCGATATATTTCAATATATAGTTTATACAGGTGTCCCACAACGATTGTACAATACTGCATCAGCGTATTCTCTGATCGAAAACAGACAAGAAAAGTCTAATAAACATAGGTCCGAAAATGGACCAATTTCGAGATATTCAAAGTTTTAGTTTCATAAGCTGACTATTGTAAACTAAATCGATCAAACTAAATCTTTGAATATCTCGAAAATGGTCCATTTTCGGACCTATGTTTATTAGGCTTTTTTTGTTTATTTTTGATCATAGAATACGCTGATGCAGTTTTGTACAATCGTTGCGGGACACTCTGTATATAACTTACTATCAATATATAATTTTCATTTCTTTTGAGGTTCGACTTAT